CTCCCGCCCAACTTGGTGTCGTCTGCAAACTTACTGAGGGTGCGCTCAATCCCCTCATCCAGATCATCGATAAAGATATTGAACAAGACCGGCCCCAAAACTGAGCCCTTGGGAACACCGCTCGTGACCGGCCACCAACTTTCCCTGCTGCCCAGGGGGACCCGCTGTTCTCGCCTCGCTGTTTCAGCTGTGAGCTGGCAGCATATGTGCCCACCGCAGCTAAGAGGCCAGGCCAGGCCTTGCTGCCCCATGTTGAGGCTCTTGAGCAGGTGCCCCCTGTTAGGTGAGGGAGCAGGCCTGCGCTTCAGTGCTGCTCTCCTGCTGCTTCAACTGGTGGAAGAGCTCCTCTGCTCCTCCTGGGAGCCAGCACCGGTCTGTTGGCGTTTCCTGCTAGGGGAAAATGGCAAGATACATAGGCTCATGGCCGTTAAAAAGGGATCCTTGTTCTATCGTGAGGATGCTGAGAAAACCTGTGCCATGCAAGATCTCAGTATTTAATTGTCTTTTTAACATGAAAAAGGGCGTTAGTACAGACTAGCTCCCACAGGGAGTATTTATAACCTAAAATGGCAGCATTCTTTCCCTCTCAGTATTGTTCTTTCTGTTTTATGGTTTTGATTTCATTGTTTTCTATTATTCACTATTTTTCTTAACTCATAGTATGGGGCTAACTTTATTGCCAAAATAAAACCTCTTGGGGTTTTTCTTATTGGGGACTTTCTTTGTGAGATGCTTTTTTTCTTATTAATGTTATGAAAGATTAGATACAATATTTTACTGCTTATTCTTACAGGGTGATTCATTTTACAATTCTGTTTTCCCCAGTGGCTGTGCTTGCAAGTATTACTTGCTCTCAGTGGGATTTCTTACTAAAGTAATTTCTGCTCTGTAGATTATAAGTGGACAGGATCAATGCAGCTTTCATTTCCAGAAAGGTGGGAAGGGAGGAGAGAAAGAAATGTGTCCAATTTGGGGGAGGGCAGAAGTAATGCCAAGGATTTCTAATTCACCACTTAAAATTGTCTATTTAAAGGCACTTACTGCATTAGACTAACAGTTTCACGCCCCAAAGGTAGTAAGCATGGCTGAGGATAAAAAAGCCTTTGTTGATGAGATAAATAAAGCGTTGGCAAAGTCTGAAGGGCTTACCTGGAAGGATCTGCTGTTCTCCTATCAGGGGACCCTGTATCCTGTCACAGTGTGCAGTGCAGAAACGTTCCAAGCCCTGGAGAACCTGGAAGCCAGAAGAGATGATATGGTGCTGGTGTCCTACCCGAAATGTGGTGAATACATTATAAATTGCTTGCTGTAATCTACAATACTGTAACTAATTAGCTGACACACTAAGAAGGAAAACCATCTGATTGTGGTTGTATGTTGTGTGAGGATATTGGGCATTTCTACTACAACCAGAGACAGCAGGTTTTTGTCCTGCTTTGTCTTAATTAAGCAGTCTGTTGCAGTGCTTTTTAACATGGTTTATGTTTCTGAAAGGAAAAGAAGTTTTAGTGTTCGAAGATACTTTTGGCTGAAGAAGTGCAAATAAAGTACATAGTTTTTTATATATCAGTGGGACAAGACAACTCTGCCAGTATGATAAACTGTATTCTGAAAAACATGTTAGTAATGTAATGTAGTGTAGTGTACAAAAGCAGTAAAATTATGCATTAGACTCTTCAAGGTGTAGAAAGTGACATGGCACAGCATCTTTACTTGCAAAATTATAAGCTATTTCTTGGCGTTATTCAGTATCAGCACTGTTTTTTGTTTTGTTACTGCAAAATGGTATTGACTAAGACATACTGAAAGTCTAAATCTTTTAGTCAGAGGTTTGCAGAAAGGAGGAAAGGTGCAACAGGAGCAGTGAAAAAAACTCATACAACCAACTAGTTGATTTTGATCAGTTTTATTAAATGTCAATTGTGACATGGTTGCTTACAAGGAAGGGGTGAGTTTTGCTAATCTAGGAAATCCTATCCAAGCATATGTTTCTTCTTTGAGACCCAAGCAGCAGAAGCTTAGGGTTGTCAGAGAAAATGTGGGTCCAGGGAAGGATTTCATTGCACTAGCATGGTAGTGGATGCGGTCAAATTGGGCTCTAACCAGAGAGTCCGAGGTCAAGGTCTCGTTCAGCCCATAGAGTTCCCATTGGTTGGCAAGTTCTGATCTGGAAAGAAACTGTGGTGTATTTAGGGGCTTAAGAAGTACTCCTGTAGTGTTTAGGTTGAATTTATAGCAGCTGTGAGACAGAACACTGAACCGAGGGAAAGAGAGGGCAAATAAAAAGGAGGGAGCTGGCACAAAATGTGAAATGTGCATCTTTATTTTAGGGAGCCTGTAATTCCATTGGGTTTGGGTCCAGAGTTCTGCTGGACCCTATAAAGACCTGAAAGGTCATTGTGATAACTTGGCACTGGCTTTGATTTCTCACAGAGTTTGGAAGAGTTCAGACATGGAGTTGTGATGCTGATTGCCTCTGAGGTTTAGTAACTCAGTAAATCTCTCCTGCTCAGGGAGAGGGATCGGTAGAGAAAGAAAGAGATCTCACAGTATTGGGCCGTTTGTGGTAGGTCAGCAGGGGGAAATTTTACCAAAGACCACTGCCAGTTGTTCAGTAGGAGAGGGAGTACACAGCTCCCTGTGGTTTGCCGGGGAATGCAGCACCCTGTTACCTGGCAGGCACTGCTGGAAAGGCATGTATGGGAGGTTGCACGGAAGAAATGGGAAAGCAGGAGAGAGGGAAAATGCTGCATTTGTGCAATGCAGTGTAGTTACAATCTGCAGGTAGATCTTTTGGAATTTTCTCCCATTTGGATGTTTGCTCTTATACTCTTAAACAGTGCTAAATAGATTTCTTGTCCTAATTTCCCATAGCTTGCAAAGTGTGGGGGGGAAAAGGCAAGAGAGGAGCATAAAGAACAAAAAGGAAAAATTATCTGCCCCAGTTTGAAACCAGAAATTGCTGGGCTCCCTTTTGCCCCTTGATGTGACACTTGGACCCACCAAGCCATAATGTCACCAGGCAGTAATACAAATCTCTCTGCAGGCCTCTTTCCCTCTTGAACCAAGGGAGCCTGGTGTCTGGCTTCCTCTGCCAGCTTCTCAGGTGTTTTCTATGCAGGGCTCAAACTCTTTGGCATTTGCCAGGTTTAAGTGGTCATGAGCGTGCCCGATGAAGGACTCTCATTGAGGCCCTTCAAAAGCTTTGTCTCTCAAAACTTTAATATTGTCCTCATTCCTTTTACTTATTAAGTATTACAAAGGTTAAGTTACAGTAAAGTCTCACTATATAAAAGGTTTCCCCCAACTCAGGTGTGCGCAGTGGAGAGGAAAGCTCTTATTCAGAGAACTATTGATGATGTAGGGGTAAAGGACGATGGAGCTCCAGGATGCAGTACTTCCCAGGGATGGGTCACACAGTTGAGAAGGCGGTAGGGGATTTAGAGACTAGGAATTTTAGGTTTATCAATTGTAGCTTTTTGTTAAAATAAAATTTGTATTTGTGCACATGCAGTTAATACTGGGCAGATGAGGACATGGATTTGGAGACTCTTAATGCTTTTGGCTCTGGTCTGTATGTAAATGGGAGAGTGATATAAAAGATACCCATCATACAGTGTCATATATAAATATGGTATTGGGTGGTATATAAATGTAATAGATGTATTATAAGACATTGTATGATGTCCACACATTGCATACACATTACTGTATAAATGACATGTATCAGCTGCTTCCATCCAAGCATCCTGAGGCACTTCATATAACATAGGGTGGAAGTTATTCCTTTCTGGGAATAACTGTCCGCTGAAAGCATGAGGTTAAAGCTGTTTGCATTGTATGTTCCCTGTTAGTGCCTCTGGCAGCTGTGTTCACAGGGGACTTGCAGCATGCAGGAGGCGGCAGCAGCTCCGCAGCTCCATCTCCGTGGGCCCGGTGGGAAGCCTTCCAAGCGCCTCCCCATAAGGACGTGGGGAGGGTGCTGCAGGCCAAGGTGAACATGCTGTTCCCTCGCTCTGTCCTGCCGGCAATCGGCAGAGCATCAGTGGAGCAAATGTGATTCCTGGAAGCCTTGGGGAAGCAGGCACCACGGCGCAGCTCCAGGAGCTGGCCACAGGCTCACGCTGGAATGGGATGCGATATGGGAGAGGCGTTGCTGCAAGATTCCTTCCAAAGGGTGAGGGATGGGGGGAGATGCAGGTGTCCAGTGGGTAACAGCTCTTCTAGCACTTGTTCTGGCATGCACTTTATGGAGACAGCAAGAGGCACAGCTGAGCACAAGCACTGGCAGTGACATCGAATAGATGACTCCATTTCATCCTTGACCCAGGGCAGTAGAGAGAGGCAGATGCATTCAGCAGAATGAGTGAAGCTCCTTGCTCATTCCTTCCTTTTCCTATCCAGACCCTTCCCAGGTGTTTTTCTGCAAAAGACAGGAAAGCTCCCATCACTGTCCATCACTGACTGTTTTATGAATATATTAAAAAGATGTTAAGTGCATCGTTGAGTCAGTTCTGCCTCCAGTGCTTTCCACATACCAGTTATAAGTGAGCCAAGAAGGTCACAGTTAAGAAGCTGTTCAGGATCTCATTAATGGAGAACATTGTTTATAATCATTTGGGAGCTTTAGTGTTTTTTGTCATTTGATGACTGTCTATTATGCTGAATTAAGCCATGTAATGAGAAGGCTCTGAGATCTTATATAAACCTCTGGTATGTTTTATTTTGTTCTCTGGATTTCTTGGTGCAGGTGTGAACTGGCTTATCCAGATTTTAAGTGATTTGATATTTACAACTATCCAGAGTAAACCTGTAAGCACAGAACTACCATTTATTGAATGTGGAGATCCAGATAAATACCAGGTTAGTGAAAAGAAACTATTGAACCATTTCAAGTCTGTTGTTCTCTCTCTCCTGCACACAAGTTATTAAAATGAAGTCATGTAGCAAGTAAAGATATTTCTCCTGAGAGGGGAAAAAAGATAGTCTTGGATGATGAATGCCTTTTGATTAGGGGCTGTTTCACACAGGCGACTCTCACAGATCATTGCTGCACCCATATAATAAACCTATGCTCACTTATGGTTCTGTTTATTTCTAAAGAGGATGAAGCAGATTCCATCTCCAAGGATTTTGGCAACACATCTGAACTATGATTGCCTCCCCAAGTCTGTTTTCAAGAACAAAGCCAAGGTGGGCATTTTTCTTTTTCCAAGAACAAGCCTCATCGCTCTGACAGTACCAGCATGCAAGAGTAATTTTGCGGCCACATCCTTTTCTTGCACCCAAGTGGGTGGTACTGGGGGAAAGCAACCTGGAGACAGTGGGAGTCTCATGATGCCTGGGCCGGCTTAGCACCCCATACAATTTACAGCAGCCTTAGGGGTGCTGTAATTGACATAAACAAGAACAGATCTAGAGGCTGTTGCAGTGCTCAGAAATGGCTGGAGTGTCACGCTTTCATTTTTTATGCTACTCTTTTCTGTGTGTGACTGTGGTGGGAATGAATGTGGCAGCAGTATCTCTGGGACATTGGCTGTCTCTTTGCAAAGAGTCACACTGTTAAAACTTTAATATTCCTGGTACTTGGTCAGTGAACAATGGCGGATACGTAGCACTTAGGAGATAAACGACAGATGAAGGAAATAATTGGTTAAGGGATGGGTATTTTTTCCATGTTTCATGTGTGAGACAGGAAAAAATATAATGTGTATAACAAAAAAATTTAATGTGTATAATGTGTTTTCAGAAGTGTTTACACTTCTCTGAGGATTACAGTCTCTTAGGATATCAAGAACATTATTGCCATGCTTTGAAAAATGGAAGATGATTGTAACAGCTGCTGTTTCCTGAAGGAGAATGGAACAGAGCTTTTCCTAGCAGGGGTTTGGCAAATGGTTCATTAGAATTTCCCAGGTCTTAGGTAGTTGTGGGATAGTATTCAGTGAGAATATTACAGTTTTTCCAGTTGCTTCTTTCTACAATTGCTTTATGACATAAGCAAGTCTTAGAAGTGGTAACAAGGTCTTTATTACGATCACATTATGAATTTGTTCTCCGTGCCTTGACTAGCAAAGTATTTTATAGCCCCCAGTATGTTACTGGTTGCAGAATGTTTGGTTATACTCTTATTTTGGTTGCCAGGGGAAATAAGTGGTCTAAAATTGTTGACCTCTTTATCCCACTCCAGATACTAGTGCTGTTTTGAAACCCTAAAGATACAGCTGTTTCATTTTTCCATTTCCACAACAATGTGCCAAGCGTCCCCAGTTACAGCTCCTGGGATGAGTTCTTCTCAGAGTTCATGAATGGGAAAGGTATTGTTATAGTTACTGAATGTAGCTGAAGAAGCAACAGAAAAAAGTATTTAAAAACAACTAAATGGGGCCAGTGGGAAAACAGCTGTGTCATAATTAGTTTACTGATGGCCATGCGTCATGATAAAGGAGGCAGCTGAATGCCAGAATGGGGAGAATGTCCAAAAGATGCTTTGCTTCTGGGTATTTCACTCTTCCAGGCAAAGGTGAAGGACTTGCATAGCAGCTTGACAGTAGCATTGGGTCAAAATTCTGCCGCGTAGTGATGGAGGAAATGCTACAGACCTGAAGTGATAATGAAATGACAATTAGTTGTCTTTACTGTTTCTGCACATGAGGCCAAACACTTCATTAGCAACTCAAATTTTAGACTGAGACTGATGTCTGGCTCTGGCTTTTGGGAGATGTTTAAATGACAATATCGTAACAGAGGGGAAGCACATAGTGAAATTCATATCTGTGTGGAAACCATTTACCTACAAAAGTCCAGAGGAAGCCTCTGTCGTTTTGTTGTACAGTACGGTACCATGGAAAGGACAGGCTGTTCTGTTTGTTTGCATTGATGTAACCAATAGGCAACAGAAGGCAATTCTTCAGTCAGAGAGAAATAAGTACCCAGTAAGAAAAGAAGGTCACACTGATGCTTCTTTCTCTTCTTTACAGTTGGCTGGGGATCCTATTTTGATCACGTGGTCACCTGGAACAAACACACTGAGGATGAGAATACTGTGATCATAATATATGAAGACCTGAAAGAGGTAAAGCAGATGCTGTGTGCTGACAGGCAAAACACATCTGAGCTCATTCCTTGAAATCTGCTGAAATTAACGGCAAAAGGCACAGGTTTCTGAAAGAGCAAAATCAAGTTGATTTTAGCGACAAGTTGAGTCTGGCTATACAAAAGCTGAGCTCCAATGTAATGCAGAAAACATACTGTGAAGGAAAATACATATTGTTAATAGATGATGGCAATGCACATCCCAAGTGGGTAACTCCTTTTTCAGAGGAAGCATGTTGCATGTCTCCTGTTCACTGTATTGCTTTCAGAACCTGACTGCCAGTGTAAAGCAGATAGCTGAATTCTTTGGATTCTCCCCAACGGCAGAGCAGAACCAGTCCATTGCAGACAGGGCCACTTTCCAGGCAGTGAAGGATAAGGCGCAGGAGACTCATGGTGCTGTTGGCTCAATTCTTTTCCGCAAAGGTAAATTTGTTTGTATTTTGTCAGGGTGGTGAATGGTAGCACTGCATCTTGGGCAGACAGGAATTTGGATCAGTAGATGGTTAATCTTTCTGTATAATTTTCAAGGTTGGAAGTTGTTTAAGAAACACTGATTGTGATTCAGGATGCTGTCACTTGAGTTCATCACAAAGGCAGGTACCATTCGGTAAAGCCCTGTGTAATGTCATTAGCAGAAGTGCCCTACAAGTAGCACAGCCTTCAGTCGTGGTATGCAGTAAGCACCAATTAAAACAAAGAAGAGTTTTATTTTGGCTTCTGTGAGAACTGGGGATAGCCTGGCACTCGGTCTACAGAGTGCCTCCACAGACTTTTCTTCCTGGGTTTTCTAAATAACCCTTGTGATTGCCTAAGAACCTCAGTCAACACGTGGAATCCAGACACACCACAGACTGAGCTATGTCTTTTAGCCATGGATCAAGCTAGAGCTGTAGACTCAGACAACCTCAGACTGTGGGCTCTCCGAAATCTAGATTAAAGGTAGACTACAGCTTAGGGCAGTGTCTGGTTGCAGCGCACAAAACTCTTGCAGTTAAAAGCCACATCTTTGAACTTTCTGGGTTGGTTTCACAACTGCTGGTCATCCTTTATAGTCTTCTGTAGCTGTACAAGGCACATGCCAAAGCTGTGAAGGCAGACCAGTAGCTTCCTATGTTCACTTTATGTTCACATTCTATTGAGGACACCAAATATAAGGCAAACGTAAGAGTGTATTCTTGGGTCAGAGATTCTTTTCTTGTAGGGGGGAAAAAAAAAAGGGATTATCCTGAAATATGATAATAAGAGAGACAAGATGATAGTTTTTTGTTTTAAATCATACTCCTTGGTCCTTACAGTCAAGGGTAATATTTTACTTTTCTTTATATTCCAGGTGTTGTTGGAGACTGGAAAGATCTTTTCACTGAAGCTCAGAACCAGGAAATGGATGCCAAATTCAAAGTGTGGTTAGAAGGAACTAATCTGGGAGCGAAGTTAAAATATGATGTGTACTGCAAGGCCTGAACCTCCTTTAGAGAAAAAACTTATGTCGAGGCTGCTTTTCATTCACTTTTATGAAATAAAACAGAAACCAGGACAATATCTGATTTCAAAATTTTGAAAATCCATGCAATTTGCAAACCTGTTTCTGCTGTCTTAACTCACACAAGCAATCCTTGCTCGTGCAGTTAGTATCATTGACTTCACTGGATTCTCTTAAATGACCTGTAGTTCTTTGGCCTCACTTGGTTTTTAACACTGATTTTTAGCTATGATTTCATGTTACCTGGTAGAATCCTGTGTGGAATACATATGCAGTAGTTAAACCTGCTGAAATCACTGGAAATGTATTCAGTATGTTGGAAGTGATTTTCCAAGAGATTTTTTAAAACAATCATGAAGTGTCATTTTGATTCTTAATTTCTAAGTTCATAGTGTAAAATGAAATTTCAAAAGGTCTTCTTGTCTTTTGCCACTTTCTGTGTGCTGATAAATGTGTGGAAAAAAGTAAAGGAACTCAATGATGGAAGTTTTCTCCCCCTTTTGGCAATAATGTTTTTCTTTCCTTTGGTAGTGTGAGATCTCATCCTGAGCAATTGAAGGAATTGCCTTGGACAGAACTTGCTCATAGAGGTTGGAGTCCCCCTCCTGGTGGAGGCTTGCTTTGTTGCTTAACCTCAACACAGGGTTACCCATGGGGGAAATTGGAAACAGATGTTGAGAATACCAGGTTTTGTCCACATGATTGTCAGGACTTCTGAGTGTGCACCTTGCTTTGGATGTTGAGGAAGCACGTGAAGAAGCTCCCGGCTGGGCAGGACTGGGAGGAAGTCACTTCTTTATGGTATCAAGGCAGGGGGGTTGGTAACCATCTGGTTGACTTGTTTGGAAGAAGGGACTTTTTAGACGTGAGGGAAGGAAGTGTGCTACTTGTGTAACTCTGGAAATGGAGCCTTTGCTGGGTTGCCTGGGCTACTTTATGCCTAACAGTAGTACATATGATTGCAGAGCCAGGATGTGGATTTTTTTCTGGATGTCTGTCTGGGAGCTTTGAAGTGCCACTGTCAAGAACAGAATGACTCTCCTTTGGTGGTGCCAGAAGACCGGTGTGCACAAGACAGTTGAACATTGAATGGTCTCATAAAGGGCTGACTTTTTAGGCTGCAGTTTTCCCTTGGGAGGCTGATTAAACGCCAGTCTTTGACAGCTGGTTGTTTTCCCCACCAGAGGCATTTCTTTATCTCCGAAGAGAAGGAATACAAAGGAAAAAGTACTCGGAGAAGGAATATGTGGGTAATGGGCGCACAGTTGCTAATTTAGCCAGTAGGGGAGGTTAAAGTCTTCCTCCTCATAGTTTGTCAGCTTCTGTCTGAGAAACAATTGTCTTAAGTGTGGTAAATGACTTGGCAGAAGGAGTGTTTGTTACAGATATGTCGGGTGAAGGATGTACCTTAGCCAGGCTGAAAACTCAACTGTTGGGTACTTGAGGTGTTGACACAGATGGACTCTGTGAGACCTTCTGCTGCACACTTTGTTAGCTGGTGGTAAACACAACAAACTCCCAGTCATTCAGTGCTAATGAGAATCCATTTCTAAAAGTCTGCCAGCGACAGGGGAATGATTAAGACAGGTTAACTTCAGTGCATCGTTAGGAACATCTTGTCATTTTGTAGTCAGGTCTCCACAAAATCTTGTTTGTTTGTCTTTCCTGGCATACTCCCCTTTCTTCTCCTGTTCTAGCCGTGTTTGCTGTAGCAATGAAAACTCCATACAGCTCACTGACGGCACAAAAAACCTCCAGGTGTTGGTCCTTTAGGTTGACAAGCTAAGATGCCAGTGTCCCAAAGACTGGCATTCACATAGTGGGAGGAAAGGATCAGTGCAGATGTGAATTTGCTTTCAAAAGTAACAGCTGTAATAATGGCCATTTAAAATAAGTAAACCAAAAGTGGGGTACCAGTGAGGATCGAAGAGCAAAATAGAACCCACAAAACCAAACCGTATCAGAATGAAGTCGGTTAATACCAAACAAATGAAAGGTTCAGGTCACTAAAGCTCTCTCAAACAAATCTGAGGTTCCCTGTAAACTTTACATAGGCACTGGAAAAAGCAGCAGCGTGCCTTGGGTGTTAGCTTCAGCTGTACCTGCTGCAGCAGTAGGTCAAGATCATTGCTAAGCAATTAATAAAAGGAAGTGCAAAAGGCTTTGGTTGAGGATAACGTTGAAACAGGAGCACTACTTCCTATTAAAGTAGGTTGCCTGAATTACTGGTAGATCAGTAATAGCCAGCCTCCACTTAAACCGCTGTATTTCTCAGTTTAAGATTACAATGAAGTATTCTGGGGCAGTTCAAGAGGAAATCCTATCTCAAGATGCTAAATAGGCTACTCTTAAATTTTTACACCTTTTGACCAGCAAGGTTATTTAAGCTGAGGTGGTTTAGCTATCTGAGAGAATATTTTATAGGTGACATTCTTAAATTCCTTCAGTCTGATCGGCACATTCTTCTCAGCACATATTCACGTACTCAGTAATTGCCAGTTAATGATGAGCATTAAAGAACATCGAGTATAAGACTAGTGAGTGTGAGGGGCGACTGATTTTTTTGCAGCTTTCTCTGTGTTGTGGGTTCGGTTCTGTTAAAAATGATGTGGTGGGGTAACAGGGAAGAAAGCTAGACATAATGTCACTGGAGAAAGGGAGAATTTGTACCTTCCTCAAGCACTTAAGCACGTTCAGGATGAAAAAGCACTGTGAAGTGCTTTGAGATGGTGGCATTGAAGGTCAAATCCAGTAGCCCACAATAATTGCGGCTATCGACAGCAGCTAAACTAAACAGAAGATTCAAACCCAACAGAAAAATTAAACTCCTCATTGTGGAAAATCACCAGTCATATATTCTTTCAGCCATACATATAGGGAGCAATTTTGGATATATATTTTCCATTTCTATATTTTATATATGTTTTCCCTTTTATACTTTTCTTTTTATTACGGTACTCAGCAGTAAAACTTTAAATGGTATTTTTGACACACAACATTTAAGGAATATGTTGGATCATTCAGCTTCTAAAGAAGAGGTTTTTTCACTCCCTGACCACAGTTATGATTTCATTTTTTCTGTACTTGTGAGCTGCTGCACACTTACCGTTTACCAGCAGTTGTAGGTATTTATGATGTCTACATTTATGTTAACTGGTAAACGCTGCTCTATTAGTACTTTTGTCACCTCCATTTCCCTAATGAGCTGTTCAGTAACAATCAAGGCTTGAAAGTATATTAAAATAATATTGAAAAAGAGAAATTGGAGGTCTTCTCAGAAAAAAGAAGCATAAATGTATCTTTTGTATGCGAGAGATGGCTCCCTTGTGTGTGTTCAGGGTGTCAATAACCCAGCCAAAAAGGAAAAGATTTCTGGTACTGGATTATAATAAAAGTAAAATGGGATCAAAGCAGACAGAACTGAGCTCAATTTTCTCATTTACAAAATGCGAGCATTTCATATTGCAGCATTATGCAGTACATTAATTGGAAAGATAATTAATGTTGAATTACAACAGAAGTGCTGTAAAAGTACAGGGCATATATGACATCCACAGGAACATCAAATAATTTTTTTCTGAGGGTAGGCTGGCTGTTAGAAAGGATGCCAAATGGGTTTATAATGAAGGGGGGACATGAAATACAGTCATTGCAATCTTGTTATGACAGCAAATGCCTGGACTTGTATTTTAATGTTTGTCTTTTTTTTGTTAAAGTCCTAACACTTTGATCTGAATTTTGGCTGAACAATCACCTTTGGTGGGGATTAGCGCCTTCTGTTTTACTCTTAATACACTGCGGATCTTGGCAATGTACACTGGCAGTGTTGAAATGATTTTTGGTCAGTGATTGTTACGGATGTTAATATTGTCGGGATTGATGCAAAGGAGAGAAAGAACAACAACATTATGAATGAGAGCATACTGTGTCAGTGCTGTGTCTGAGTGCATTGCTAGAGCTCTCTGCTAAAATGTTATTTATGTTCAGATGTTTATGGTCATGGATACAATTGTCCTGTATTGCTATCACACTTTGTAATACTTGTAGATTGGATAATATGAAGTATTAGCCAATAAAATATTCAGTTTGCATCTGAATGGAAAGGTTTTCATATGATCATTTGGCTTCTGCAAAAACTTTAGAGGCTTGAGGAAGAGAGAAAATTAGTCTTTGACTTTGCTCAAAATGTGAGGCAGTCAGGAGCAGTCAGGAAATGAAAGGAGGCTGGGAAACTGGTGTCTTGGGAGGCTTGTGTACTTGTGAATAATACAGGCTTATTGACATACGCCTGTGGGGTCTCCAGTGAGTTCCCTGCTGTTTTGCATTCTACAAGCCAGTGAAGCCGTTTTCATTACTGTAACACTCATTAGCGTTCCTCCAGCAGGTAAATAAGTCATAGTTTCATTATTGTGTATTTCTGATATATCCATAGGCAATGTATTTATATTCAGAGGAAAAAATTAAATACAAGATAATCTTAGGCATTAGCCATGTCTCCAAAAACGTAGGAAAAACACCAACAAAAAACCCCATGGAAATGGAACACTTATAGTCTTCCCTCTTCTTCCTTTCTTTTCTGCAGGTACAGAGAGTGATTGGAGTAACTTCTGCAGATGACCAGGCTGGTGTCTTCTTTCATTCTGTGGGCAAGTATTTAAGCCATCTACAATTTTTTTTTTTTTTTTTTTTTCTGGTCTCCCAGCACAATTCACTCTGTTTTTTCCTGATGGCGCAGAATTTCCCCCCCCCCCGATTGTTATTTATTTAGAAAACTGTTCCTTTTTCTTCTTTTTGTTTGTTTGTTTGTTTTTTGTTCCCCTGGCAAACCACTGTATTTGTCCTCACTTGCAATGTGTAAGCTTCTGGACATCTGCCTTTCTTGCTGCCGTGGTACCAGAGGCACGGTCAGCCATTTATGCATCACCATAGAAAAGTTAACCTTAATGTTGCTGTGCTGACAAAATATAAATAGAAGCTTTATGCACCGAGGCTGTAAGGTGGTGAGACCTTATGACAGCGGGCGAGGGGGGCCCTGAGGGGCCTCTCTTCCCCTGCCCAGGGGAGCTGGGGCATGGCCTGGTGGAGGCTGCCTCTGTCAAGGTGCCATTAAGTAGTCTCCCCATTAAACAGGGCAGCCCTGTCTCAAGAGGATGGGACGTTAACTGGAGCAGGACAAGAAGCAGCGGTG